GGGGGGGGACTTTCCATGGTGACAGATTTTATTTTTAAAGCATTTTAACCTCAAGACCCTTAAACTTGGTTTGAATTCAGACCCATTCTAGGTGAAAGTGTAAAAGTGCTTCCTGCATGCAGAAAAGCGTGGAGCAAACTGTCCATGTTTCAGCATGCTGTCACTGCTCGGGTCTTGGGACAGGGCTATGGTGCTAACCTCCAGCATAAAACTGTGCGGAGACAAAATTGCATTGGACGCATCATTCAACCTGAGTCAGAAGGTTCCTTTAAGAAGCTTGCCAATCCAACATGTCACTGATCCGAATGTACTACAGTAATTGATACCATATTTAGTATCAGTTTATCGGCTGAAATAGAAACAGCCCACAAGTGGGGGCTAGTGAGAAGGAAACCCAGTCTTACTTATTGGACAGCAGTCAATCCATGTTTGGGTTTGTGATCCCTCTCCACAACTGGCACTTCACGGTCAATGCAAGAGCGCTGCTCTGTGGGCAAGCTGCACTAGGACAGACACAGACTGGCACGTCAGTTCCGGAGCACAGATGCCATGCAGATGGTACAGACTTACCACAGGGGCAGTGAGTGCCACCAGGAGTACTCACTACCGCATGCATATTTGCGGGGGACAGGGCTTGTGCTCCATGCAAATTATATTGTACGTGGGCAAATCTGGACTTTTTTTCAAACAAGAGAGATAATTTAGGTTTTCTTCCCAAATAAAATAATAAATATATACAGCCAGTTAAAAAAAAAGTTCAACAATCTAAAATTTTAGCAGTCACATTTACTGAAGTACATGTATCCAAACCTTTTTAGCCTCTTCCCAAAAAAGACCTATAAGAGATTTAGGGGAACTGTTCAGTTAATTGTCTCTCATGACATTACTGTTCACAACTCAAAATTGGTAGCTTGACCTTTTGTTGTTTCTGCCCTGAAGCACCAGGACTTGTAGTAGTTTGGCAGTGCTGCCACCAGGTGGAGGTAGTGTCTTAAGCACAGATCTCGCCCAAGTTGATAAAGCTCTGCCTCCCAGGCAAGGCCCTCAGATTTAAAACGAGCTCTCCAGTTATTTACTCACTACCTTATTAATAATGATTAAAAATAGTAAGACGAAAACACCTGGTTAAAATATCTCAGGCATTATTTTTAAATATTGTATAAGAAGGCATGAAATGGGATTAGCTTAATTTTTAAAAATTTGTGTTTATCTGTTTGGTTTTTTGTGTAATTAACATGTATTATATTATTATTGAAAAGGAAAAGAGCAACTTTTAAAGAAATACAGGTCCCAGTGCTACGTTTGTCTTGTTAGTCCATTCTCAGGTGTCTTTGTGCAAATCTGCTTGTTGTCCAACGCTATCTCTTAAGGACCAGCCGGATATCTAGTGCCTCTGGCTACTTATCTGTCAGTGGCAAAGGACCTGCTTTTTATCACAGCCGTGATGATCTCTTCATCCTGTCTACAGTTTTTAATGCTAGTATGGAAGATACCTGTATTGATGTTTTTACTATCTTAAAATAAGGGGAAGAAATTTCTCTCCTGGTAAAAGGAAATATTACCCTAATGACCTGAGTAAGGGAGTAGAAAGACCCTTTTCTTCTGTGTCTCAGACCAGGAGTTATTTTCCTGACTATGATAAAGTGATTTGTTAGCTCTTAGTGTCAGATAGTGATGAACCTCTGTTTTTTAAGAACCATTGTCCAGACCCCATAATCTCCCTTTCAAACATTACTTCCTATAATTCACACTTCAACTCGATGTGGTTATAGATTTCATCTTTTTATAGATGAGAAAACAGGCTTTTGAGAGATTAAGCACATAGCCTTTAAGTGATCGAGGCTAGAGTCTAGACTTTCTAGACAAGGGGTGGGGTGCTGGCTGGGGCTTTCATTACAAAGAACTCAAAATAGATTGTGTCCCTTTATCATAAAACATTTTGAAGTAAGATGTAAATCTGGGATTGCGCATACTACGTTTAAGTTGGTTCACAAGGCTGGAACACTTGTAAGAAACACTTCATTTCAAAGGACTCCAGTGTTTATTTCAGCATTGTTGAGCACTTCTCCCTGCAAAGTGATAACGTCTAAATGCCCATTATTAAGGAATTTGTTAAATAAGTTATGATATATTAATATCATATGAAATATTATTCGGCCATTAAAGAGAATATCTACTTGGATGTACTTAGGTGGGAAATTAACCATGACTTATTAGGTGAAAAAAGCAAATTATACAATAATAAGTACTATTCCTTGTTTTTTTTAAAAAAAAAAAGTATGTGCTTGTAATCCATATTTTTTCCTCCTTCCAGTTGAATTTGTTTTTAACTGTCTAATGAGTTATAGTTAACATACAGTAGTACTTAAGTCTGGAATAATGTACCTCAGACTTTTAAGAAAGCTACCCCTAGGGAATGGGATTAGCATGAGAGGATCCGAGATCTCCTGGATCCTAGTCGATGCTCAACCTCTGAGCCACGCCCGGCCGGGCAAATAGTGTGTATTTTTTAACAAGAAAAAAGGCACACGTGTTCACAATCATGGTCAAGTTGAGAAGCTTCCCAAGGATCTGAGAGATGTCTTCTTCTATCCTGAAATCTATCCTGAATAGGCGAATTTGCCCGGGAAATTTACTTTAGCAGCTGAGGATTTGGGGTTCCAGAAGGTGACAGAAATAACAAAGCCACTCTCATGTTACTTCTTACCAGACTGTGTATCCTGTTGTAGCCCCCTGCCCCACCCTATTATCAATTTCCAGCTCTTCATTGTTAGGGAAAAAATAAGCTGTGCTGAGGTTCCTTCCAGTTCTTTGGGTACCAGGAACACCTCCTTATTCATACACTTGTGAGTGTGTGAGGTATTCCCAGTTTTTAAGATGACAAACTCAAAGGGCAAAAATAGGATGTGTTTCCCCGCAACATATAGCACTGAATCTTTCCTGCCACAGGCAGATAATTAGCAGTTTATACAATTGAATTTCATGTCAGTGTCGTCTTCCTGACTCCCTCCCCACCTTCTGTCAACACTGCCTCCCTCTCTCACTCTCAGAGTCACTTCCTTCCTGACTGCTGGTTTACCAATAAAAATAGCTTTGGAATTGGGGATGGGTAGAGTGGTTGTTAGAGGGAGAGGCTAAAATGAGGCTGTGTTTTCTCATCAGTGGTTTCATTGTCACCAGCATGCGAGGACTGTGGGTAAATGAAAGCCAGGAGAGGGAAAGTCTTAGCATTCCAGAATCAGGGCTTAGGCAGTGCAGTGCCTCTGCCACCCTGGTTGGGAAGTGGACCTGTGAGAGCCCTTTCCTGTGCCCTGCCATTTGAGATGGGAGGCACTGCCTCAGGTCTCCCTGTATATCAGAGTCTCAGGACTCCAGTCATCACATTTGGCTCCTTCAACTGTCTCCCTTTAACCTTGACCTGGTTAAAAATCACATCCTAGACCAGACAACAGAAGCTCTGCCTCTTCCCCATGGGTAAACTTGTAATAGGGATAGTGACAAAGTAGCAAAGCTAAGGTTAGTTTCCATATTTTCTGACTCCCATCCTGCCCGTAGTCCCTCTTAATCATTTAATAAGAAGACTAATCCTGTAGTACACCAGCATAAGAGAGTGTTAGGTGGTTCACTTTTATGAAGGAAAGGAAGGAAGAGAATTAACTTTTATTGCCAACTATGTGCCAGAATACTGGGTCTATAAACATTATCTCATCTAATCCTTACAACAACCCTGCAAGACTGGTATTATCACCGCCTCCATTCACCGCTGAGATAACAGGGGCTTCGAAATAGAGGGTAAGCTAGGGCTGTCTGGCTCCAAAGCGTGTGCTGTCTCCACTCACCTTGGTTTGAGATTTGGCACTAACTACTGATAACAGCTGAGGAGATAACATTTGCCTTGTGTGGTGCCTGGCACATACTTTAGAAAATGTTCCAACAGCCTCCCCCCCTTACCCCCTTAGTCACCTCCTATGCTCCTATTTGAAGCATAAGCTCCACTAATAATTTCTTTTCACCATACTTTTAACAGGACCTAGGACAGTGATCCACCCTAAAGCACGAATCATTGCGGAGGCTGGACCAATAGTGATTGGTGAAGGTAACCTAATAGAAGAACAGGCGCTGATCATAAATGCGTGAGTAAGACTTTTACAGATACTCTGAACTTAGTACCACAGAGAGTGTTTTTATTAATTTCGGCTAACTGTAGGAACCTTTTATAACTGACATCTGGAAAGCCCACTGTTTTAGAACTAGGGAAGCATTAAGGATCTTTTCAACACAAGTAATTAGTAAGTGAGGAAACTAAAGACTAGATGAGTAAAGAGAGCTGACCAAGGTGAGGTAGCTCATTGGTGGGTTGGTGGCCGACTAGACTCTGACTCTCAGTCTCATAATCTTCCCCTTACATACCACTACCTCCTCTATTCCTTAAGCAAACATTTCCCGAGTACTTCCGATGTCCAAGTGCTGTGCTTCCACCCTGAAGACAGACTTTTGGTTGGATTTCTTGGTTCTGGATGAAATGTTATCTTCGTATGCTTTGTAGGGGTATTACCCAGAATTATATTGGAAAAATTTGGGGTCCTAGAGGCAATTTTTAAACTTTAAAGATTAAAAAATAGTAATAAAATATTAGAACTTGTACATGATCTTAGTTAATTAGAGTGTAATACCTATGAAATTTTCATAAGCATTTGTAAAGCTTTCTAGATACCATCTTGGCAGGAAATTCAAGCTTATACCTAATTTATAGCAACAATGTGTGGAATTTTTAACAAAGACCTTGGGAAAACATTTAACTGATAAAGAGATTGTTTTTTTGTCTTAAAGCTTACTTAGGATTTGGGAGTTTCTTACTATATTAAGCAATTTCTTTTAAAAATAATATTTTGGCACCTTTATCGTAAGTCAATTAACAACAGCTATATTCTGCAGTAACTCAGCTGTCAGAGATAAATCACCATTTTAAAATGACTTCCTACTCTTAGAACACAAACTTTTTTTGTGTTTGCCTGGACCAGAGACCGAACCCACAACCTTGGCATATCCGGACGATACTCTAACCCTGAGACACCTGGCCAGGGCTTAGGCCATAAACGTTTATGTTCCAAATATTTCAACTAACTACCTAACAACATAAAATAATTATTTTTTGTGAATATCTGTTTATGAGTGATTATTAAGAATGGAAAAATTTTCAACTTAGGCATGATTTTGATTCTAATTCAATAAGCTAAAAGTTATAGCTAGTATATTTTTTACCTTGTCCTGAAGAAGGCTCTCTGAGCTTTGAGTTTAAAAAATAAAAGGAAGGCTGTCTTTCTATATATACCTGTGGCTTCTTTACATTTCATTGTGGTTCTTAGCTCTGAATCAAGTATAAGGGATAAATAATTCACTTGGATTAAGAAGTTATTTACACAATTACATATTTTAAGCTTGATGTAGGTAAAATTGAGAGAATGAACCCAAATTCTGAAACAGGAGAATGGCTTATTGCATTGTTGACTCGATTTTTATCTTCTTTTTATAGTCACCCTGATAACATCACCCCGGACACTGAAGATCCAGAACCCAAACCTATGATCATTGGCACCAATAATGTATTTGAAGTTGGCTGTTGTATCCTTTACATAATTTAAGATGACTCATTCCCAGCTGTCTTTTAGTACCTAAGACTCTTAGTAGAAATTGACATAATATATCTATCTTTCAAGTATATTTATTACGAGTATATTTCTTACATTTTTAGGGTTAGGCCATCCAGTTCTTTGAGAAGATTTAGCTGCAGTGTATCAAAAAAAATTATTCTCTCTCTCCTACTAAATAACCCCATAGAGTAAAGGAGGAATGCCATTTTCAGATGTGCTTGCACACACGTGTACACACACAAATATACCTTTAGCTCAGCATTTTGAAGGTACCATCTTGTTCTTATCGCTACAGCATCTTCATAGATAGCAATGATCAAGTGACAGTAGACACAGAAACAGTAATCCTGGCTTCTGTCCTGATTTGAGAACGACAGCTGTGTCCGTTTGATTCCTGTGCAGTTTTGGGTTGACTGCTGTCTGATGCAAGGAATTGGTGGATGGGAATGAAAACATTTCATTCTGTTTTTCCCCCCAGAAATCACCACTTCTTCTGCCTGATTTCATTCTCTGAAAAGATAGTGAAGATTTTTTATGGTGTCAGCAGAACATTATTTTATAACAGAAAATACTTGGAGGGAAAAAATCTAAATGTTTAACAGTAGCAAAATATTTAAATAAGACATAAAATGTACTATTATGACCATTAAGCAGTCACTTAGAATTATATTTTTAACAATTTTAATGGTATATAATAATGCTTGTAAATTTAAAAGTGTAAAATAAAGTGAGCTGCAAAAGTTTATACAGTTTGATTTTACAGTTTGATTCCCAGTAAATATACATAATTATATAAAGATATGTCAAACCATCAGCAGTGTTATCATTAAGTTATTGAGTGATAGTCTTAACTTTTTAAAAACAATTGTGGAAATATGTTACTCTTAGAATTGGGGTATAAGGTCCTCATTTCTTTAAAAAACATAGAAATCATTTATTTATACTTAGAGATATTTATATTTAAAGATTAAAACTACTTTCAGACTCCCCTGAGCAAGGAATTTTGGCCAGGCTGAGCTTGCATGGCCCTTCCCACGCCTCTGTGCTCTGCCCTAGTGCAGGATAAGGTCATAGTGAGCTAGTAGGAAGAAAGAGGAACATACTTAATGTTTACTTAACTCTGGCTTACAGATTCCCAAGCCATGAAAATGGGAGATAATAATGTTATTGAATCAAAAGGTAATCTATGTTGGCACTTTTATTGTGAAAAGTGGTTACTCCTTTCTCTTTGTGGGATCTGGAATGCAGCCCGAGTACAGGCACACCTCGCTTTATTGCTCTTCGTTTTATTGCGCTTTCCAGATACTGCGCTTTCATCAGCGTCAAAGCAAGACTCCACCAACGAAAAGATTATGACTCGCTGAAGGCTCAGATGATAGCAATTTTAGCAATGAAGTTTTTTTAATTAAGGTGTCTACATTGTTTTTTTAGACATAATGCTATTGCATACTTAATAGACTACACTATAATTAGTGTAAGCATCACTCTTATATGTACTGGAGAACCAAAAATCGCCTGTGACTTGATTTATTGCAGTATTCACTTTATTGCGGTAGTCTGGAGCCAACCTGCAATATTTTAGAGGTGTGCCTGTACAAACTATGGCAAAGTGGTGTGCATAGAAGGAAGGTGTGGTTGGAAGTGGACTGAAAGAGCTGTGAGACTAATTCAATCCTTTGCCTTTAAAGAACCCAATTGAGTAATGTGTTTGATACATAAAGTTAAAAATTCAGCTCTTTGTATATTTAAATCAGTACTGAACTTTATGGAAAGTTCAAATGAAAGTTTGGAAAAGATTTCTACTAAATACTAGTGTCACTGATAATTTAGTTGATTAATGTTATTGTAGAATTAAAGAAAAAAATCAGTTTTTCTAGCCATTGGCTTTCTTTAACTTCAGGTCTACTACCCTAGCCCATCAGGACCAAACCTAAGCTACTTAACCATAAATAGGGCCAGGCAGGGGGTAACATAAAGTCACCACCACTGCTGGAAAGCAGCTCCAAGAGCTTGTCCCACTGAGATCCAGAAAGATCCAGAACGAGACTTCTTTAGAATAATGCTTTATCTTTCTTGGTTCTGATTGGCATGAAAGAAAATGATTCTCTTTTTAAATAATAAAATTAGACTTTTTGTGGATCTGCTTAATGGTTTTATTTTAATTTGGATTACCAATTATTACTACCGTCATCGTCATTTTTGATTTATTATATACTTACTATGTGTCAAACCTGTGCTCAGCATTATACATTTACTATCCCATTTATTTCTTACAGCAAACTGAGAAGTAGGTTGGTCTTTCCTTTTATTGATAAACTCGCTCAGAAAATTTAAAGTGACTGGCCAAGGTCTCACAACTAATTAGAGGCAGAGCTTGGTTTTGAATACTAGTCTGGTACCTGCCTCTATGCTATACAATGAAGTATTTTAATTTTTTAAAGCCAGTTTGCATTTTTATACCTAAATTATCTTAGGAAAAAATAGTGTTCTAATCATTTGATGTCTTAAATTATAATTCTTCCTATGTTTTTACTGCAGCATACGTAGGCAGAAATGTCATATTGACAAGTGGTTGCATCATTGGGGCTTGTTGCAACCTAAATACATTTGAAGTCATCCCTGAGAATACAGTGATCTATGGTGTAGACTGCCTTCGTCGGGTGCAGACTGAGCGACCACAGGTACTAGTACTTCTCTTTAAAGGGTTCTTTCTAGGGCTGTTAATTTCCCCAAAATACCACATAATTATTTTAATGGGGCAGCAAGTCCACTATTTAAAAAGCAAATGATTGAAACACAGAAACATTTCTAAAACTAGGATTTATATGCAGTAGAATTATTCAGTCTTTAAGTTAATATAAAAAATGTGTACAAATGTGACAATGAGAAATTGATTATGGGAAAAGAAAATTCAGAGATGTTATTCCTGGTCTTATGCATTTTCACTGAAGATTCATCACAAAATCTTAAAATTTATTGATTCCTCCTAAAATGTCAATCTTTAAGGGTTAGGAGTGACCCTACCAAATTTATACTGGACAGCCATCCAGGTTCCGTCGACTAGTTTACTAACATAGTTAGGTTGAAAATAAATAACAGCTTGTAAATATGCAAGTGTGTTTGAGTCATCTCCTGGTTTATGAGAAATGATCCCCTCCTCATGACCAAGAGTAATAAGAGTATGTATTTGGAGTTTCTTTATTTGAGCAGTAGATGAATAAGAAAGGGCACTTGGAACTTCCTTTTGACAGAAGACATTCTGATTGAAATCTGGAGCCTGATTGATTGGCACACGCAATATACTTCTTTAGTTACCCAGCCTCCTTCCGCTCCTCTAGAAGAAAATATTTTTCAACACATTTATCACTTTGACTCTGATTCTTAGCCATATTTTATCAGAAATTTAAACTCCAGTTCTTTCAGGTTATTCTATTTCTGTAATGTTGTTTGGCTTTTATTATTACTATCATTATTATCAGCAAGTATTGCTTCTGTAGACTAAAAAGGAAATAAAAACCAATCCAGCATTTTTTCACTGTCTTTCTACATAACAGCCAAAATGATGAAAGAGGGAGAAATGAAGCTTGAGCTAGGGAAAGGAGATTAGAATTGAGCGAGAATATCTGAAATGTAATACACAATGGTATGCGGTACTGTTTTCCAAATTTCAGTAATCGTAAAGATCATGTAGAAGTCCCCATTGTAAAGGAATTCACCAGACTTAATGAATTAGAGTGTCTAGGGCAGTGGCCTAAAACATTTTTATTTTTCACGAGTACCCCTAGGGAGTTTTACAATGAGGGAAATTTGGGCAAAGCTAGTGTATGAAGAGTGAAGATCAGATGAGTATTGCAGATGTGTTTTCTGTAGGTCTTGTGGAAAGCAGTGTACTCTGGTATTTTACTTCATTGTCTTCTGTAATTGGAACTTTTTACCATTTTAGAGACCAGGGTGAAATCTATAGAAGTAACATTGAAAATTGAGTCATATATATATATTTTCTATATAAAATATTTTTACTTTTCTCATTACCAAACTTAATTATATGTTCATTGCAAAAAAATTTTTAAAGGGGGTAAGCAGTAATAAGTCAGTGATAATCACCTGTAATTCCACCGCCTAGCAATAATCATTTTTACCTGTAGTCTTAACTTTGCTTTCTGTTAGTTCGTCATTATCTTTTCATTTCAGCCCCAGACACTACAGCTGGATTTCCTGATGAAAATCTTGCCAAACTACCACCACTTAAAGAAGACTGTGAAAGGAAGCTCAACTCCAGTTAAGAACTAAGAACAAGCTGTGACATGAAGATAACATTTTGCCTTTGACCACTTTCTTTTGAAAGGGCCACAGTGTTTATGCCCTTAACAGGTCACAGCATAATACAGTTGACTTTATTTTATAAAACTGTGTTAGAAAGGGAAGTGATAGATTTTCATTGTAACTGTCCTCTATAATTTATATAAAATGTATTGTTTTCCTATATCCTTGTTCCCTTTCTGATAATTTACAGATTTAGTTTTCTTTTGTTATATAAAATATTGGCCACTACCCATGATAGGAAAGGGCATATTATTATGTATTTATATTGTGCCATATACTAAACGAAATAAAAATGTTGATGACAGGACTTTCAGTGAGAATACTTTAATCAGTTTTTCTACTTATATTAGCTTTCCCAAAAATAACTTTTAATTTCTATTATGTACTAGCTATATTAAAGTTAATGTGTTTGTCTTTTCCTATGGTGGATTTGTAGCTGTTTAAAATTTCAGGTGAAATGTTAGCAGCTACTGAATTCATTTTGTTTCCAAGAAAAATATTTATTTTCTTTTTAGCAAAACAAAAATGGTCAGGGAAAGATATATTCAGTAGAATACAAAGTCAAAAAGAACGGTGTCTGATGACAATGAGAAGTTACCATTAATTGAGTGGTTTTCCTGGGTTTGTGAGGACAATGAAACTAAAAGAGATTTTGATATATTTATGAATTTGTGAAATTATTTTGGCATATTACTAATTATTAATTATTGAGCTCATTATAATTCTATTTATCTAATTGCAAAATGGGCAAAATAATGGGGATTTTGCTGTAATTCCCAGTATTTTTAATAATACAAGGCATACATTTAATGGAACATACTTTTCAACTTTTGTATCAATAGATATTGACAAATACTATTAAATACTAAGATATTTCCTCTTGAAATTTTAATTGTGGATAGTAAAAACTCTTTTTAAATTTCTGAAACTGACAGGTACAAATTAGCCCGATTGCTCCAAATTTGAATGAATTGGTTTTGGTAAGAATACTCATGACTCAGTTTAGAAACCTATACTACTCTATACAGTATCTCAAAAAGGAAAGCATCACATAAAACCCTAGTTTTGATAACTGGTATTTATTCATTTTCAACTCCTGGTGCTCAACATAGGATTTTGTAGATCATGCAAATTGTCTCAGGTAAAAGATCAGAAATTACAAAACTGCCCTTAAGCCCAGCTGGTGTGGCTCAGCGGTTGAGCATCAACCTATGATCACGATTTGATTCCCGGTCAGGACATGTGCCTGAGGTTGTGGGCTCGATCCCCAGTAGGAGGCGTGCAGGAGGCAGTCGATCACTCTCTCCCTCTTCCTCTCTGAAATCAATAAAGACATATTTCAAAAATAAAAGATAAAAAAATTTTAAACCCCTGCCTTTTGAATGCTATGTCAGTTCTAAAATACTACCTCTGGACAAACACTGATATGCTGATAAATGACTTCTGGTCCAAACTATCCAGGTGTGTGAGGGCACCTGTGAGATACCGCCCAAGGACTTGGTAACAAGATATCCCCAGAGAATTAAACTAAGTCAGTATGCAGTGAGAAAAGCCTCATTGTTTCCCAGGTGCACTACAGTTTTTAAGTGGTATTAATTAGAGGAAAAATGTGAACAGAATTAGTCAATTTCTCAAACAAGGTTTGGAGGAAACAAAATACGACAGTTTCCGTACAGTCATCCGCAGAGGGAGGTGCTGATTCCAAGAGATGTGAACAATTCAGTGACCAGAAGTGTTCTCTGCTTCAGGGAGGATCAGTTTACCAAGACTTGCTGTGGTCTGGAAAGAATGTACCTTGAGACCTGCCATTTCTTTTGGCTGTAGTTGCGAGCTTAACTGAACCACCTTTCTATTGCTAATATGGCCTTCAATCCATCATTCAGGAAAAGGCACTGGAATTCCATCCCACACAGTATAACTGGAGAAGCTTTCAGTCTCATGTGAATTTAGTGTGTGTAGTCCTGCCCCCAAGTCTGTCAATTTAGTCTATGAGTTCTGAATATTCTTATAAAATACAGTTTCTGACCCTTCAGGACAAAGAACCACAGCCCGGACAGTTTATTGTAAACCTCACCCCTTGGCGCTTCTCCACAGCCAGGCTACCTGCCTTTTCCTAGACAGTCTATCTCACTGAGACTGCTCTTCAGCTTTGTGAGAGATATTCTAGGCAGTTACACTAAATGATAGGACAAACCCTGACAGCTTGTGACATACAAAGTGACAACTGAGCAGGGAGAAGAAAGAAATCATTCTGTCACAGCTTCTTACTGCAACTTGGCGAGAGATTGGATCTGATCTTGGGCCAAGATGATGGGTTTTCACCAGGGGAATGGTGTCAGGTCTAGAAAGGGCACTTTGCGCCCCTCTCCATTTCATAAACACACACTAGTGTAGTCATCTATGCAGTGTAGAAAATTATCCCAAATATATAGCACCTTAAAACAATGAACATGTATTACCTTACATAGTTTCTGCAGGTCAAGAATCTAGGAGTGGCTCAGCTGGTGGTTCTAGCTCAGTGTCCTTCATGAGGTTTCACTCAAGGATGTCAGCCAGACCTGCAGTCATCTGAAGACTTGACTGGGGCTGGACATCCGCTTCCAAGATGACTGCCTACCATGGCTGTTGGCAGGCGGCCTCAGTTCCATACCACACAAGCCTCTCCACAGGGCTGCTGAGTATCCTCGTGACATGGCAGCTGGCTTCCCTGAGCTTACTTCAGATCCAAGCGAGGAGAGACCTACTCTCTAAAGTTGCATACCATCACTTCCACTTCATTTTATTTGTTAGAAGCAGGTCACTAAGTCCATCTTATACTCGGGAAGGGACTAGGCCCCACATTTTAAAAGAAGAAGCATCCAAGAATTCATGTTCTAAAACCACTGGCATATACACACATCCATTTAAACTGGGTTCCTTCCAATGTGCTGTTGGCATCTCTTAGGGGTCTCCACACTGGGGAAGAGGGCTGTTTATTAATGGGCCATAGCCCATGACATCATCAAAAGTCTTCACCTTATAACCTATAAACCCTATCTTTTTTTTTAAACAGTATATTTTATATATATATACACATATATGTCTTTATTGATTTCAGAGAGGAAGGGAGAGTGATAGAAACATCAGTGATGAAAGAGTCATTGATTGGCTCTCAAACCTGGGCATGTGCCCTGACTGGGAATTGAACAGCGATTTCCTGGGTCATAGGTCGATGCTCAACCCCTGAGCTATGCCAGCCAGGCAAACCCTATCTTCTTAAAAACGTATATCACTTGTCCCTAAATGTATATTTCATTAAGCATCAGTTTAACTTATCTAGGCTTAGTAGCAATTATTATAAATAAAAATCTTGAAGGATAAGAATGTTGAAAATAATACAAAAACTAGTTTTAACACCACTTAGTAAACTCACTGATATTTTTAAAATTTGTATTCCTTTACTAAACTTGTAGAGAACCTACTACATGCCAGGCACTGTTAAAAGCAGTTTATACATAACTTATTAATTACACATTAACTCACTTAATTCTCTTAACAATCAGGTATCACTATTTTACAGATGTGGAAATTGAGGCACAGAGAGGTTAAGTAACTGGCCAAGGTCACTCAGCATTTTGGCTCCAGCATTCACGATCTTAATCCCATTCAATGCTGCCTTTTGGAAGACTTGTTAAACCTTTTAAGATAGAGATTCCATAATTCAGTGGGCTTCTTAAATGCTAGTTAGGAGAACAGCTATGGATTTGCATTGCTTGGTCTTTGCCTCTCTTAAAGTTCTTAAACTGCATGAGACAAAACAATAGGAAAATTGTAAAGAATTGTTTGGTGTTCTCACTGAATTCAGTAAGAATTACCCCAAGGGATGTTCTGTTGAGGCTACAGGTCACTCTTCCTAAAACTTTACACTGGCTCTGTGTATTATTACTAATTAACTGTGGTGGTGAATTATGGTGGGTTTCTATTGGTTTTACTTATAAAAGTAATATAATTTCATTTTTGACAATTTAGGGGTTGGGGAGGAAGTACTTCTAATACCATGGCCCACCCTCGAGCACCAGCACTTTTATTGTTTTGGTGGCTAATTCTTTGTGTGCAGTCCAATCACTAATGAAGGTAAATGAAGATCCCTTTCAGATCCTTTAATCTTACAGCTTTGTGATCCCACTGCAGACCTACTGTTTTATCATAGGGGAGCCAGGACACAGGACAATTTTTCCCCCATTGGTTAGCAAATGGGTTCTTTAGGAGAATTTATTATCCTTAGTAATCTGACCCATATTAAGGCTACTTTAGGCTTCGATATTTTATTAAACACAAACTAGGAACAGTTCCTTTTCTGCCTCCTTCAAAGGGAGATATATTTTAATATTTTAGAGCATTTACCAGGAGTAGAGCCAGCGACACTAATCACATCCACATGGAGGCTCAGCCATTACACCCTCCCACAGAGAAGCATCGCTGGTCCTTCTAGAGACCCAGCAAAGAAAGCTACCTTCAAATCCTTCTTGCTGTCATTCCTCTCAAAAGAATCTCAGCACTACCTTCATGTGAGTTTGAGTGCTGAATTTAGATATTTTTGTTTCTTAGCTGTACTCAGCTTTCCTGTGGTTCAGACCTTTGAACCACTCTCTGTTCTGTGTAAATAATATGCCTGTAGGTCAAGGCCAATCCAATTTTTACAACTAGGAAGTAGGCTAGTCCCTGATGGGTTATAATCACTTCTCTCCCTAATTGAGTTGTGCACTTTCCAAAAGTCAGTAATTTGTTCCCAAACTTGTTTATGCAAGTTGTACCCAGTTATTATATAATTTAATTCAATATTACCAAAACCATACAAATATGAGTGTAAAGAGAGTGGTAATCTCTATGAAAATAAGTTGAATGCTTTTGGGGAAAACGTGATAAAGACAGGCCTTTCTCAAGGAAAAAATGCTGTGGAATGAGGTGTGAGTAAAACACGTGAAAGTTTGGGTGGAGGAAAGAGTTGTCAACATCTAGAATTCCACCTGCTTTCAGTGGCAAGGGTCTATGGAAGGGGTGGCAGGTGTCATGTCAGCCATGAAGACGGCAAGAAGCCCCTGAAGCAGCAGCCAAGCAGGCCAAGAGATGGGCGAGGTAAGGCACTTGAGCAGAAGCAAAGAGAAGAAAACCAAGGCGCTATGAGTGAAGGCCACGGGGAAGGGCCTGCTAGCCACAGGCGGAATTTAAAAATCTGGCAAGCCCGGCCGGGCGTGGCTCAGCGGTTGAGCCTCGACTTAGGATCCAGGCGATCAGGGTTCGATTCCCGGTCAGGGCACATGCCCGGTTG